AGAGATTGTACGGCTATTCTGGGACACCCTGTATATAATACTCCTATAGGAGTATTATATATATGGCTCTGCACCGCATGTCGATGCGATATCTCGATTCTCGAAATATCGAGCACTTAAAATACATTAGCGGCAGCGCTAATACGCTGAATACGCATGACGCAAACCAGCGACGTACGCAATAGTATCGCATTTCTTACGAGTATTATCATTTCGCGCGCAAATATCTATAGTACGCGTATGTCGCAAATTATCGAGCGTTTGTAGTGGTGCATACTTATAGCGATTTCGGCTGGGGCCCGATTCTCTAATAGCGATTTCGGCTGGTCTGCACCGGTGTGCCACCTGTGTAGAGTTGGTGCAATTGTGTGCAACACCGCATCGGTGTGTGTACTGATTACACTAACTGGCGCCGACTAATTTGTGAGAGCCACTTTGTGTACACCCAACATGCACCTATGCGGTGTACTGAGCATAGAACTCAGACGAATACGCGGAACCAGCAAAGAACTGCTGCCATTCGACCAGCCGAACACACAATTTGCACCGACACCCGAAATGTGCAGTCGGTGCAAACCAGCCGAAATCGCTATTAGTCATATTCTTTAAAACGCGATAACTATGTAACCAAACACTCTAAGGATATAAAGTCAAAACAGCACTTGTTATAACAAATACTATGATAAATTCAGAAAAAGTGCACCAGTAGCCAAATTGTGAATTTTAATTTCTGCTTTATATTTTATTGTCACGCGACTCTAGAATCGCAGTGCAATACACATGCAAAAGTCAAAAACAATCGAAGCGAATACTCACATTACACTTTATATTAAATCGAATGTGTGGAAATTATAAAAATTCGCGCAATCATGTAATTTCTCGATCGATTATTTGTCGAATGCCGTGAAGTAAAATCAAGCCGACGTACAAATTTTTTCTTATTTGCTATCTTTTATTTGCAAATAATCATAATCTTGATAAAGCCATCAGATGTTTTTCAGAATCTCACGCGTTGTTGTAGGTTTGCTCTTGTGATTACTTGAACATAATGCAAGCGTATAATAACTCGAATAGATTTTTATTTCTATATTATATTTTTCAAAAGAAATAATTTATTTTAAAGAAAATTTGAATTATAATTGTTTACAATTGATGTAACAAGAGACGTCACACGCATATCTGTAGTTTTATGTGAGAGGATTTACAAATTTCAATACACATGTGTCAATTATTAATCTATAATGTTGATTTTTATTAAATTCGTAATATATTTGCATTTGTTTATTACACAGAGTGTTTGGTAGTAGCTGCATCTTCTCTCATAAGCAAGTAGAGCAGATTACATTGAATTAAAAAGGTATTTACTAGTTTGCAAGATTTTCAATGCTTAATGTATTTATTACCAGTATATATAACATTGTAATACATACACATAAATGTGTATTCGAAAAAAAACAGTATACGATATATAATGTCATTATAATAAGAAGTAAGAATTTAATGTTAACTACTGATAAAAATTAGTATGATATAGTAGTTCTGATCGCAAAACATTAAGTAGACGAGATAAAATGTTTAACAATTTTTGTATCAATATCTCTGTTACATATGAATGTATAATTTTACTTACTGAATGTTTTTTTCTTTAGTAATAGATGTAATATTGATATATAGATCTACTAGTTTTATTTGTTTTCACTTGACTGAAATTATAAAAGGTGGAAGCTCTTTATGCAGTGTATAAAAA